CACTATCTCATCCGCATGAGCAAAAGAGTGTGTGTGCTGATGATAACAGGATCTTGGATCATAGGCTCTATCAATGCTTGTGCTCACACTGTATATATTCTCCATATTCCTTATTGCCAATCCAGGGCCATCAATCATTTCTTCTGTGATGTCCCAGCCATGGTGACTCTGGCCTGCACGGACACCTGGGTCTATGAGGGCACAGTGTTTTTGAGCACCACCATCTTTCTGGTGTTTCCCTTCATTGGTATTTCATGTTCCTATGGCCGGGTTCTCCTTGCTGTCTACCGCATGAAATCTGCAGAAGGGAGGAAGAAGGCCTACCTGACCTGCAGCACCCACCTCACTGTAGTGACTTTCTACTGTGCACCTTTTGTCTACACCTATCTGCGTCCAAGATCCCTGCGATCTCCAACAGAGGACAAGGTTCTGGCTGTTTTCTACACCATCCTCACCCCAATGCTCAACCCCATCATCTACAGCCTGAGAAACAAGGAGGTGATGGGGGCCCTGACACGAGTGAGTCAGAGACTCTGCTCTGTGAAAATGTAGACACACTTTCTGCCTAAGGTCTCAGGGCTCAGATACACATCCATTCAGCAGTGTATAGTAATTAAAATATTATTTCATTCCTAGAGTGCAGGAGCAAAAAGTAATCAACAGAAGAAAAAAAAACTCACTGATTTCTGGGCGAAATTGTTTTATAAAGATGTATATAATTCTAAACAACCTTTTTCTTCATCGCATTTTCCCCATAAATTTTGAAAGCACATACTTTTGCCAAAATATTGTCAGTGAGAATGTTTGTTTTCAGTTATGCAGAAATGGAAGTGAAATTTGTCTAACTGAAGTTGGCACTTAGTATAGCAATTCTATTATTGTCAATTTATTTTCCAGCAATTTTAAATTTACCTTTTTGTTTATGTCTAAAACAAACAAACAAAAAAACTCTTGACTTGGTGGATCCAATTGAAAACTGTAAAATGTCTTTCTTATTTAGACGCTTAATGTACCAGTTACTGTTTCTTTCAACCTAGGGAAGTTATTTTTACACAATTTAGCAGAGAGCTCAACAGGGATTCTTAAGTCCTGATACCACTCTGGATGGCCTATGACAAGTTTATGTGTTTTATAGGGGAATTAATCCCAGGAAATGATTTAACATCAGGTATATTGTAGGTCAACAACAAGGACTGGAATGTGCCAGCAGTAATAAAAATGGTTACATTTAGGTCTTTAACCCATTTTGAGTTTGATTTTGGTATGGTATAAGAATTGGGAGTTTAGTTTCATTTTTCTGCTTAAAAATATCCAGTTTTCCCTGCACAGTATATTGAAGACACTGTCTGCTTCCCAATGAACATTCTTGGCTCTGTTGTCAAAAATCAGTTGACCGCATCAGGCACAGAAAGATTTTGCATGTTGTCACTCATCTCTGGGAGCTAAAATTCTTAAAAACGGAACTCGTGGAAATAGAGAATAGACTGATGGTCACCAGAGAGTGAGAAGGGTGCTGGGGAGGGGTGATAAAGTGGGGATGGTTAATAGTTGCAAAAATATAATTAGATATAATGAATAAGAGCCAGTAATTAGTAGCACAACAGAGTGACTATAGTAAACAATAATTTATTGTAGAATTTATTGTACATCTTAAAGAATAACTGAAAGTGTCGAATTGGAATGTTCTCAACACAAAGAAATACATATTTGAGGTGCTGGTTACCCCAGTTACCCCAATTTGATCATTACGCATTGTATGCCTTTATCTAAACATCACATACACTCCACAATTCTATATTACTATTATAGTAATTGACAATAAAAAAAATAAATCAGTTAGCTGTAGATGTGTGGATTTATTTCTGGGTTCTCTGTTCTGTTTCATTGTTCTATGCATCTTTTCTACACCGGTACCATTCTGTTTTGGTTATTCCATGTTTGTAGTATAGTTTGAAGTTTGGTGCTGTTATGCCTCCAGGTTTGTTCTTTTTGTTCAAGGTTGCTTTGACTATTTGGGGTCTTTTATAGTTCCATACAAATCTTAGAATGTTTTTTACTATGTGTGTGCAGAATGTCATTGGTGTTTTGATAGACATTGCATTGAATCTGTAGTTTGGTCATTTAAATAATATTAATTCTTTCGATCCATGAGCATTGGATGTCTTCCCATTTGTTTGTATTCCTCTTCATTTTCTTTCACCAGTGTTTTGTACAAATCATTCTAGTGTTCTCTTCCATGACTACAGTTAACAGTAAAGTATTACATAGTTAAAATTATTTCAATGCTCTTTAAACGTCATTTCTATTTCTAAACCTGCGGATATTTGGTTTACAATGTTGTAGCAGTTAAAACACATATTTTGAACTTGTTTTATGAATCAGAGTAAGTCTTCGTTGTGCTTTGTTGCAATGAGCAGCATATATTTTTATTTTGTGATGATTTACGAACAAAGTTTACTGCCTAAGCTTCTTGCCATTTCCTGTCCTGAACTCAGTCAGATAGGTCATAATCCATGAATACAACAGAGATGGGCTCTGGGGCAGAGGGAAAATAGCCCTCCCATCTGCAATCACTTGCTCCTGCCATGGAGAGCACCTCCTCTCTTCCCTGTTAGGGATGCTTGTATCCAACTGTCACCTGTGCCACTGTTTGTGTCATCACTACCAATCTGAGCCCGGTCATACCCCAGCCACTGCTTGGGGTCCTGTGGTGCTGTGAAATATTGCAAGATGTGTGTGTGTGTGTGTGCGTGCGCGTGCACGTGCGTGCATAAGAATGCCAGGCCAATTGCCTCATGTGGGTGTTGCCTGAGCCCACTTGTGTAGTCACTGCTACTGAACCAAAACTGCGTGCAAACGCTGCCAACCTCTCCAGCTCCTCTGTCACATGCATACTTCAAGATGAAATGATTAAAAATTCCAGTGATAACAGCAGAGCATGAAACCAGGCATGGAGCCCTTTGAGTGTGGGACCCTGTGCATGGGTTCATGAGGCCAGTCCCAAGAAGGATGGAAAGAGTGAACATGAAGTGAATGAGATCATGCAGCCTAGGATAGTGGTGGGAATGTATGATGGTCTGAATGTTTGTATCCTCCCCAAATCCATATGCTTACATCTTAACCCTCAATGTGATAGTATTAGGAGTTGGGGCCTTTTGGGAAATGATTAAGTCATGAGGGTAGCACCCTCTTGAGTAAGATGAATGCCTTTCTAAAGGAGGCTTGAGAGAGCTTGTTTGTGCCATCTGCCATGTGAGGTCACAGCAGACGATTCCAACTATGGTGTCATACAAGCCCCCGTCTATGAACCAGAAAGCAAGATTTCTCCAGACACTGAATCTTCAGTTACTTTGTCTTAAACTTCCCAGGTTCCACAACTCTGAGAATACATTTCTCTTGCTTATGGGTTACCCCGTTTAAGATACAATTGTTATAGCAGATTGAATACACTAAGATGGAATGTCTGCTGTTTTTATTATTTATTATTTTTGGAAAGAACCTGAGGGAGGACTGAATTAAGCAGAGGTGCCCAGTTCAGACCCTTTATCCATTTCAGGTGGTGATTTATGGAGGCAATCAGGAGACCTAGCTCTGTGATTTTCTGTGACGTACCATGACCTTGGGGAAATCATTCCATCTCTCTGAAATTAGTTTACTGAAAAACAATATGGATGCCTTGTGCCTTATCAGTAAATGGCATCATTGAAATCACTCCTACTGACATTCCTGTATAAGCAATGGTAATCCTATTTTTCATGCCAGTGACTCTGGTGGTGGAGATGAAGAGGTCACCAGTGAATACTGAGCCTTCCAAGGCTATCATAAATGACTTTTCAAAATTCTTTTACGCCAGGAGGCTCTGGCTCAGGAAAGCAATAAGCTAGTCCCCTTTGACGTGGTGTCTGTACTTAGAGGCCACTCCTTTCGCCTTACAGTCATTAAGAAGAACAACATAAAATGAAGTCAAATTATTCAAATCTACTGTCATTTACTACATTGTTTATGAGCATGTATCCAGATAATATTGAAGGTTGGACAATAGTTCCTCTTTGTGGGGATGTTCATGAATTCTTTACCTCACAACATTCTTGGCTCATTGTTAATTTTGCCTCTGCCTTGTTTTAGCCATTTTTCTTTCCATCCAAATGTTATTCTATAGTTATTATTTTACACTACATGGTCGTTCTTTAATTATTTCCTGTCTTTGAAATAGAAGATGCAAATTTTATAGCACATGGTATCTATCTGGATTTCATAACATACACTGTGTGCAATTAGAAATATCTTATG